ATTAGCTGCGTTACCAACCCTGTCGCACAAAGAGATGTTCGATCTCGACTCACAGCTGGTTCGATGGTGGCATGACCTGCCACCGGTCCTTAAGGATTACGAACCATGTCCCGAATCACTATATGCAGTGCGTACTGTGATGCGTTGGCGATTCTACAATCATCGCATGCTACTTTATCGCCCAACTCTACTCAACTACGCAATGCGACGAGTTCCCTTCATGGCCATCCGAGTTGAAGAACGTACTGCTATCCAGAAATGCCAAGAAATCGCAGCGATTTCCATCCAAGACATCTCCTCAACGACCCGATTGAATCAAATGATCGGCTGGAATGCTGTTTGGATGTTATTCCAAGCTACCATGGTTCCATTGATTTGTCTGTCCGCTGGCGTCGCAGATCACGATTCCGCTGCTTCATTCGAAACTTGCAAGACGCAGATTGAAACAGCCATGTTGACCCTTGGCCGTATGAAACCTTACGGACACACCGCGGGACGCTCTCTTGAGGTCATTTCGGGCATTCTGGAGAGTAATCTCCATGCTCCCAGGGAAGCGCAGCTTGATGCAAGTGGAGACGGTCTGGACCCCCAAAATTTCGCCCCTCCGAATGCTTTCAACACCGGTCAACAGGTGGCTCGTGATCGTGTTTCAGATTGGACTGCGACATCCTTTGAGACACTTTCTTCTCAGTACATGTGGGAGTACTTGAGTTGGGACCATAGCAATCTCTGGCCTGAGACTTTTGACCTCAATGCTCAGAATGAAGATGCGTCAATGTCTTTCTTGAATTCCCATTCCCCTGCAAGAAATACGTGACATCGTTGTCGCATTGCCTCCCATGTTATAATTTATCGCCTAAATGATACCAATCTGATCTGCATCATAATATATATCTATGTACGAAGTACGGAGGACCGTACTTCGTACCTGGCTTTATCATAATAAATAAATACCGACTAGAAACATTTGCTCTTGGATGACTCGGTACCCACTGCCTCGTTTTTCATGCATAGTACCATGGTCTCGGCTTTGTAGTCAGATCGGCAGGACTGTTGAAATTTTCAAGAAAAAAGGAGGTTATAAGTCCCACCGACATTAACAACATGCTCCACAGACAAAGTCCCGATGTGAGGACTTTATATTACTTCTTAATCAGGACTAGTCCGTTTGCTTCCCGCACTTTATTTATCTATTTATGCTCGCTCCAAATTCTCTATAGCTTAAGAACGACTACTATATATATGTAGTTAGGTTTAGATCCTTATTTTATACTAAATTAAATACGCGTAGTAGTAGTCATTATCGAGCTGTACCTAGGTAGAAACTTCGGAGCGAGTATAAATAGTGTCTGAAGCAAACGGGCTAGTCCTGATTAAGAATTAATATAGAGCGTGTTGTTAATGTGGAAAGGTCCACGTAATGAAGGGACATGTCTTAAATTAACCTCGTACTACAAGTAACTAGGGCCAATCAACCTTTGACCCACACGAGAGAATATTTTGGGAGATCCCGTTCTCCTGGACGATCGTCGGATGATCGTCGGAGTCTTGATCGACTTGTGTTGAGCCACATTTTAGTTAGTACATGCACTCGTATGTGATACTATTCATGGAGGATTTCGATATCTACCTGCAAGAACAGCAATTAAACACTTCCTCATTTGCATGTATACACCCAAAATCCCACTAATGTACATAATCGATCGTAATTGTGGGGAATGTTGGAAGTGGACCTTGAGCTTCAATGTTGTTCGATTGAAGGAATTCTATATGTACAACATACACAGTCCCTATCGAAGGCCCTTGACTCTGTATATAATTGAAATCCCATATACCGTTTTCCTTTTTTTTTTCTGTCCCCTTCAAATATCTCCCTACCCTGCCTCCGTTTGTAGTGGTGATGACGGTGGCCTAATTGTGAATGAATTGAGGTTGACGCATAATGGAGTATCTGCTTATGGGGTAAATTGCTATACGGCTACACTGCTACTGAATGTGGGATGTAGTGTCTCCGATGCAGAGGTCAAGTGATGGATCCAGGAGTTGATTGTTTAAGCAACGTGATATTTTGTGTATAGGAAATGCAGGCAGGTAAGATAGTTTAGTGTCACTTAACAATATTTTACATCTATTTCCGTTCTGTTACTTGATAGGAGTGACGGAAACCACGGCAATATCAACATTTAGATTCATAAGAAAAGAGCGAGTCACTAATCCCCAGTCTCTCATCCATATAGTCATGTGCTATTTTCAAATATGAGCAAAACATTGGGCATTTTCATAACATGAACATGGTAGCATATTCGTGACAACTAAAAAACACCGGGAAAGACTGGGTTGAGTAGCCTATGCACCCTTAACTTCGACCACCTGGTTCGCAGTCTCAGAAACCAAGACCTGCTGTGATTCCGTACTCTTCTTCCGAGGGTTGGGCGCGTCAAAGATCTCCGAGAGTTCTTCGAGGGTCCGATTGTTCGTTTCAACCGCGAAGAAGTAGATAAACACTCCCTGGACGATATTCCAGCCGGCCAAAATGATATAAGTGTGCCAGCCAATGACGTCGATAGCATTACCGACTCCGAACTGGTTCACCAACAATGCAATATTGGTGAAGACAGAGTACATCGCCATACCCTTGGCACGAGTCTCGTATGAAAGACATTCGACGGCGTACATAGCTTGCAATGGAGTCCAGCCGAAGCTGAAGCAAGCGCCGATCAAGAAGATAAACACAATAGAAGCAGTGGCTGCTCCTGTTTCCTCTGTCTTTGTGTACACACCGGTTGTAGCTGCAAAACAAACAAAGCAGATCTGCGTAATCGAAACGTTAGCGTAGAACATTGATGAAATTATAACCACGCGGGGACGTATATACGTACACTGCAAGCAACAGACGCGCCTATCATCATAGGTCTGCGTCGGAATTTGGGGCCTAAATAACTTCCCAGATAGGCTAAACCAGCAGAAAGAACTGTGTTGCCAAGATTGACGTTCAGGACGCGGGTTGTATCAGTAATACCAGCTGTGGCTAAAAGCCCACCAATGTAGTAGGTCGTGACACCCGCCTGCGCCCACTGACTCATAAAGGATGCGATAGCCACACACATAAGACGCCATCTCGCTGCTCTTGTGTTAAGGAGACCTCTAAAGTCCCAAGCCTTCTTATCCGAGCCTTCTAGGTTGATCGCCTCTTCATATTCTCGGACCTGCAGATGAACATAGGCATTATCCCGGACACCCTCGCCGTGATATTTGGTGATAACATCCCAGGCTTCCTCGCGGCGTCTATGGCTGTAGAGCCATCGAGGTGATTCGGGTATAAACCAAACACTCAATACTACCATACTGGACGAGATCAACTGACACCAAATGGGGATACGCCACGCGAGCGAACTCTCGAATCTCAGACATCCACGACAAGCACCAGCAGCGGCAATAGCGCCGACGAAGTACTGGCAATTGTACAAACCAGTCAGAACGTCACGGTAGGCAGGATGGCTCATCTCGACGACGTAGGCGGGTGCGGCAGCAGAGGCCAAGGAATATCCCCACCCTGAGAGATGTTAACAGTGTCACCCAGAATGGGGCAAGGTGGATAATAGACACGTACCAAGGAAGAATCGACTGGCGAGCAATTGATCCATGCTGTTGGCAGTACCGCCGATAATTGTACCCAGGATGACAGCGCAGGATCCAGTAAACATACCGGACCGTCGACCCCAAGTATCTAGGAACACTCCGACGAATGGTAGCGCGGAGACACCTCCAATGGTGTACATTCCCTGGATCAAGGAGGCTTTGGCACCGACCAAGCCGGAGCCGAAAGTTTCACGGAATTGCTCTATGGGAAGCAGAGCACCCATCAGGGAACCATCAAATCCTGAACTAGTCAGTGGTGAAAATTTTTCATCAACTATCAATGTGTTTTTCTCGTACCATTTACGGCTGAGCAAAGGTATGCCACAGTCAAAAATAAATATAGCTTTCTCATCTGAACACTCCAGGGGTTCGGAGGGTTCGTCCGCCTGGCGATGTCCAGAGCCAGTGAGCCCTGAACAGTCTCAACCTTGACACCCTCCTTGTGCTCCTGATGCATGGCATCGATGGTACCTTCTTTCTCGACTAAATCTGGATGTTGATTATCTGTCATGATGAAAAAGGTCGTGTTCTCCCCGGATGTGATCTCCGCAAAAATAATGACTCAATTCATGGAGGAAAAGATGGCTGTAGCATGATATTTATTGTCATGACGGGAGAGTGACTTTTCCCTTGTCAGCGTCAAGTGGTACGTTTGTGAATGTCTCGGATATCCTTGGCCAAAACGGATTCTGGTCAAATTCCCCTGTCCTCCGTTTGTCCAATCATGAAAGGTCTCTCGGGGTCCTCGGTGGGGATACAACATGGCCCGAACGAGTGATCGAAGCCGATCGCTTCTTAGAAAACCGGGGTAACACGTCTTCTACCGAAAAGAACTCGGCTTCGTCCCCGTACTCCGCGACTAAAAAGGTAATAATCCGCCTTTACTTCCCCAGATTGACGGCTATCTCGGCCCCAATATTGCGGACGTCTCCGTGGAAATGAATTTTGCGGGTTTGCAGATGTGGAGTACGAGTCAAAATGCCATGTGATTCCAACCTTTTACTATCTCGGTTATTTACTTGTACAATATTAGGGAGTAGGTGATGAACGCAAATAGAGATGCTTCCAGTCTGAGATAGACGCTGTAACAAGCATTGATAACAAGCATTGAATTTAACAAGCCCATTAACTGTAGTGGCAAAAGATACAGGCTATTTTGACGCCTCGGTTGCTGTTTAGGGCATTGGAAAAGGGGGGGCTTAGTGTACGAAGGGGCATAGCGCTCACGGGTCTCATGATGTCATTGATGCCTTGATGCCTGGAAGAAGACTCCTCTATTTTGAAATTATAACCCTGTCACAATTACAAAACTGGAAATTTCTGTCGTATTACAACCCTTGCTTTTAAAACGGTTGAAAAATCTACTGACCTAAATAACGATAACCCAACGGGGGGTCACTGTCGCTTAATCCCTTGATCTCCACCACCTGCTCATCGCCCGGAACAATATCTATAGCGCTGTCGCTGATCTGCACATTCGCCCGCTCCTCAAAGACAAGACATTTCACGGGCTTCTGTGAGGTGATCACTAGGAGTTGCTTTCCGGCTGAAGCTCCTGGCTGTGGTTTCACTTCCAGTCCGCGATCAAAGAAGTCGAGGTACTTGAGTGGCTGTGGCCAGTCAACGTCCCTGGACACAACCTGGCCATCTATCCATAGCCGCACAGCCAGGACGTGTGGCCCGGGCTCGGTGAGATGGTCAATGATTCCACTTGTGATGTCGGTAGTACCATTGGCTGAAATGGTGACGTTCTCGAAGGTCACCGGGGCGCTAAGGTCCTTACCAGTCTCCACAGATAAGAATCGTAGCTCGACAGTTCCATGCACCACAGCCTGTCGGCTGCTAGCAACCCACACCTGATAGGGGCTCTGTTTGGCTGGTTCTGCGTGCACCACACTCCAGTCATGATGTGCGCGTTGTACGCTGACCGTTACGGGCTGCATCACTCGCTTAACTGTGTAATATGCGGGTTTGGGCTGTAAGAAGTAATCCACAATTGCCCACGAGATCGTGGGCCAGCAGTCATTTAACTGCCATAGAAGCGCTCCACCACATTTTCGATCATCACCCCATTGGCGGCGCCATCCACGATATCCGAACATCATCGTCTCTGCCTGGATTACCTGTGTGAGGTAGATGTATGTCTAAGTAAGTGTGAGTAATTTCTTCTTTCTTTATACTTTTGTTGACCGTGATAAACAACGTACCTCTAGATCGGTAGACATGCGTAGGTTCTCCACTAGGTACGTCGCCAATCGCCTCTCGTGGCCGTCGGCCTTGTTATGGAAGTCCATAACTTGGGACTGTGGGTGCTTATCTTTCTCGTTTTCCAGGAAGTACTCGATCGTCGACATATGCGGGAAGCCTATCATCCCAAACTCGCTGTTAAAGCGGCCTCCCATGGTGTCAAAGATCTGGTATTTCTCCTGCGTTCCATGCCACACTATAGAGCCGTCAGTCACAATGTTTAATTAGAAATCCTACTGGGATTCCCTTCGAGGATTGGATTTGCTGACCATTCCATTGATGTATATCTCCCACAGTAGGGTCGCTTGAGACTTTTCCATCGCCCCACGGACTTCCCGGATGGTAGAAAGTACTGGGGGAGTACTCCGATACCACTTCTGGTAGTAGCTTTTCGTAGATGTAGCGTGCCGGGAAGTCAGACTTTAACCAGCTGTCCGGGTCCTTGTCTTCGTAGTTGTAAGTTAGCCCCTTCTCCTCCTGAACTTGATAATCTTCATTGTTGCCAACGTAGATCACTATTGAAGGACGGTGTCTCAATCGGCGAATGTTGAAGACTGTCTCCTGTCGTACAGACTCTAGTAGCTCAGGCCACACTGGGTAGTTGCCGCAACCGAACATAAAGTCTTGCCATACTAGCACGCCAAGGTCATCGCAAGCGTCATAGAAAGCATCGTCTTCGTAGATTCCGCCGCCCCACACTCTGATTCAATGATTGTTAGCCCGCCCCCTAACAAGGAAGTTCTGTTCTGGCATACCTGGTCATCACCTGGCCACCCGCCACCATTAACTCGATCCATTTTCGGTATCGCTCTGCACTGACGCTAGGGAGAAGGTTATCGGCAGGGATCCAGCAGGAACCTCCACAGAAAATATCTATTCCGTTGATTCGGAAAAAGAATGATTTCCCATGCTTATCCGGCTGCTGAATGACTTCGGCGGACCGAATGCCGAGTTTCTTAGACACATTGTGCAGCTCGTTTCCATCGCATAAGAGTGACACGGACACTTCGTACAAGGTCTGAGAGCCATAGCCATGTGGCCACCACAATTCGGGATTGTTGACTTCAAAAGTGGCTTTGGCACTTTTATCATCGCTTACGGGGATATCCTGGCTCGCGATTTCGTGTCCACGTAGGGTCAAATGGAAGCGAGCGATATGGCGTTCCGAACGAACCGCGTCGATTTTCGCAACCGCCGTAACAGTAGCAGTTTTATGGTCAGGAGCGAGATTTGTCTGCGGCCATAGATCCTCCACTCGTGCAGAGTAGACTTCCAATCGTACCTCACGCCAGATACCAGCTGTCATGATAACTGGTCCCCAATCCCAACCCCAATGGTATTGAGCCTTGCGCACGCCCAAGCGCGCCGGATCTCCGAAAAGGCCGACCCATTTATGATTCGGGTCTTTTTTGCGTAGCTCGGTCGCTTTGGTCTCGGCGCAATCGAACTCGATCTCTAGAACGTTTGTGCTGTTGGATGACTCCATGGCCTTGGTTATATCCACACGGTAGCCTAGGAACATATTGCTAGACTCAAGGATTGCTTCACCGTTGAGCTTGACAGAGGCAAACGTGTCCAGGCCATCGAATACCAGCGCGATCATCGCGCCAGCAGGTGTTTCCGGTCGCTGAAAAACGTGTCGATAGACCCATGCCTTCTTGTTGACCCAGCGCGCCTTGAGCTCATTAAGGCCTATGTGGGGATCCTCGAGCCTACATAATAAAGAAACGTCAGCCGGTGTCACATTCCAAGGTTGTACGGTGGTAGGGTCCCCAACTTTTCGTTTGCAATTAGATCCTGCTGCACAGTGGAAGGGACTGTTTGCACGGGCATCCATGCATCCACTGTCTCATCGTCTCGGTCCTTGAATCTCCACTCCGTGGACAGGACTTGCTTGGAAAATGCCATATTTGTAGTTCAAATATAAGATAAGTCTCCTGGGGGTGTTTGACGGCGGATTCAAGTGGGAGCAATTTCTGGGAGGGTGGAATGGGCCAATTTATATCGTCAGTGGGCACTTTAACACAACTGGGTCCTTTTCTGCCCAGATCAAACCCTTCAGCTGTAAATTTGCAGAGAAGAAAACATGCTGAACAGCACATAATCATCGTCTTCTCGATACGATATCTTTAGAGGTTGTCAGACTACCGCTAATTACTTCTACCCCACCTGCAATGTAGATCGGCCGAAAATGTCACGCTGTGACCACTTCCGTTCCGTCAAATTGCCTATTTGAGCAGTCAATGGGCGGAAGTCCGATCAAAACGGGCAGTTTCCAAGAGCTCCGTCTTTTGATGGGTTTTATAGCAGTGTCTAGTTCACACCTCTTTATCAAAGTGTAGACCCTGTTCCAGTCCTAGCATTTAAACGTCATTAACTAAACATAACACCTCAGAAGAATGATGCCCTTGAGATTTTGAAATTGTGCATGAACAGTCCGAAGATTGCGAACATGACTCAAGGCATGTCTGCCAACTTGGCAATTTGAGCTTCTTAGGCCTCGTCTTAAGGATTTCTCCAAGCACTAGAAACTGGTTTCAACTATTAGATCTCTTTGCAAGTCTAGTCGAGGAAAGTTCGGAAGGGCCCTCAAACTGAGCGCAGTGTTTTCCTCCAGGCGAATTCCCCCGCCTACAATTGACAACATATAGTTACCTAGGTAATCCAGGAACATTGATTCAGCACTCTCACAGACTGCTCATTGCACGACTCTCCTACCGGCCTGATGTCTTCAATAAATCTGAGATCCTTATGCGATTTCGCACTTATGAAATTATAGGAGCCCCGATGAACCTTAATTAATTAATACAACAACAACAAATGATAGAATTTACATTGTGACTAGTGTTCCAAGCTCAAGTTATTTGACTGTGGTGGCAAGATTCCAGTGGTTGTAGTCTTTAATAAACCTTTACACAAATTGGTAGGTATGTTGGAACAATATCCTAACGTTGGGATGTCCAATCGACCGAGTCCCAATAGGAACATCCCATCCCCTGGCCCCTATTCCCGGTTGCTAGTTGATGGGGGTTAGGGCATTCTAGTCCAATCTTACCATGCTAAGCTGCACCTGGTGTCTATATATCACCAATACTTCAACACATCTTATATTCACTTATATGTAATAGATGGTATAATGAATTATATCTATTATATCTTTATTACGGTGTATTTTCATATAGTAGTTCGAGTGGTACTTACAGGTCTACTAATGATTTTTGGGAACCTAATGTGTGTATGTTAAAATATATATTCACATATATAGACGGGATATATATATCCCATACAGTCCCTTTTTCTTTACACCATCTACCACTACTCGACTATAACCAAAACTCCTGCCCAACTTGGGTGGGGTGCCAGCTCATAAACAGCCTATTCAGCCAAATGGATTTCGAGCGCCAGAGAGTATTATTGAAGCCAGTTAGGACTATGGCGTTGATTATAGAATCTAGGTTCATTGGTAAGGATCAGTCATTTAAGTTGCTATCCTAGGTATTCTAACACTTGACTAGATCTGGGAACTACTTGCAGGACCGCCCTTCTGTTATTCAATATCCTCAACAGTTTAGTCTTACAGCAAGGTGAAGCACTTGGTATCTCTTGTATCCGTGCTTGGCCCTCCACCAGAGGATATGCTTAGGCGTGGAAGCCAAAGCTTGCGATATTTCAATGATGATGGTACTTCGGATGCAAAAATGGCAGCGCCTGAAAGTTTGTCTTGCTAATCATCAAACAGGCCAATTTAAGTTCCCCGATTTAAGTCCGAAAGAGCGACAAACGGCTTACGTTCATCGAAGGGGACGAGATGCAGATATTGTTGGGGTTTATCCCGAGACCGCTGTAATGGCGGCTAGAGGATCACACCAACTTCTCTTGTTGACAGCTGCACTAGCTAGAGAGAGTCGACTTTGGTACGTATAAAATCAATACTCGTGATCCTTTATGGGCTATCAATAGTGTATGAGAACGATCACACACGGGTAGAGAGTTACCCGTGACCCGCCTAAAAGGTGTATTAGGTAAGGATGCCTATTTGAGCCCCCGAGAGGCGGAAGTCCGATCGAAACGGGTAATTCCGAAGAAACTCCGTGCAAGTGTGGAACTTTCTAAAGATGACAATTCGGATTAGTACATGTTATTGATCTAGGTAACTACCGAATGGTTGGTTATGGAGTACTATTTGACCTAATTTCTTATATCTTTTCCGCATCGCTTAGATATGTAGTCTCGTAAGCATCCTCGGGTCTATCTTTGACTCTCCTTGTTGTCTACTTGTTCAATTGCGAGACTACATCATCTCTTTGAGCTATACTGGATGGAAGGTTTGAGACTAGTATAGTATCTGAAACTACATATTAATTATTAATAGAAAGATCCGCACACCAAACAAGAAGAAAAATGGGGTTGTGTCCTTAATATTTTTCACCTTCACAGAGAATGCAAATGAACTCTTCAATTTACTACGAAGCAATTCCTGAAACGAGATGATCATTTCCAATTTTCACACGGGAAGAGAAACAGATGGTACCATTCATATTGCTCCAGATGTCAAACCACGCATAGCATCCACAAGTGTCGAATCACCATTATAAAAGGAAGCCGCTGCACTCGAAACTTTTAAGACTCACAACTCTACCAACCGAACCAACCAACCAACAATTCATTCTCTGATCTTTTTGCAAGATGCAGCTCCTCTCCGTTTTTTCGACTTTGGCTTTCGTGTCTTCGGTCATCGCAGCTGACCGGGGCCACTACACCGTTGCTGGGATCGGAGCTCGCAAGCAGGAGATCGTGAATGCCGGTGGCAACACTCGTGACTTGGCTATTTCGATGCTGGAGACGTGAGCTTAATTCTAGTCTCCATGCCTGATACCCTTACTGACCAGTACTAGCGACACCATGACCACCGATTACACTTACGGTATGTCGAAAGCTTAGCCGGCGAAACTAGTGCTGCTGCTAACATTCATACTTTAGGTGATGGAAAGTCCGGTGATGGCACCAACTTCGGCATTTTCAAGCAGAATTGGTACATTCTGAGAAACTCTGCATCTCAATTCATGGGCAGTACCGTCGACCAGGTTTCTGATGGTGCTATTCTCAAGTAAGTTCTAGTATGGTTTATAGGCCGGGATATATTTGGCTGATGCTTGATCTGTAGTAAGGATCTGAAGATGGACATCCAAGCTCGTCACGAGGGCGAGGAGAAGTACGGATATGAGACCTGGTTCAGTGGCCACCGCAATGGAGAATCAGGCATCGACAACCCGGGTACCCAGGACATCAAGAGTGAGTTTTATCTGATATCATCCCCTACTTCACGGACCGCTCGGCTGACTTTGTCGACAGACTACATGGACGGTGTCGCATGGATTCAGGAGCAGCTTGAGAGTGATGAGAAGTACCAGAGCGACGATACTCGCTTCTACGTTAGTGTTGTGGCCATCTAGGCACAACGGTGGAGACCTTGTGGCGGACAGCCAGCTACATATACGGGATAGGGCTTTCCGCTGTATACTGTATACTACAGGATGTGCTTCGCAACCGTGACCCACATCCCTTGGGAACTTGACGTTATTTTCATTCATCCACTCGGGCGATATTGTATTTAGACTCCGGTTATCTGAGCATTAAGTTGTGAAGTTTTCGCACGAATACACTCTTTTAACAAAACTTTATTGTTCCTGCTGAAGGCCGATATTGGGATATATATGTTCTCATGCAACTACGTACATCATGCCTGATTTTGGTATGGGAAACGAGGCTTCCTGTCCCCTCAGTCGTACTTGAACTTATTTTCTACGGGGCCAATACCAGTACCTTCAATACCTAAGCGCCTAGACTAAGTGCGGGCGACATGCTTTAACTTCGTTGGAAATAGCGGGGGAATGGCGGGGAATATGACGATGGGCACAAGTCCCAAGACTTCCCTCCCGTTGGGGAAGTATTTCCCGGCTGTAATGATATGTTTGACCTGGCGATCACCTCCAGATATTTCGTTTTTGCCACCGCCCTTCCCGAATACGCCCAATTCCCCGCAAGTGGTATCCTTGTCAATCCAATGAGGAGCATCATGCACCCCCACTGCCCCGTGGGGAAATGCACCCCCATGGGGAAATAGCTTTTCGTAGAAGGTCACCACAGTGAGCTGAATTGCTGCATTGGCGATTGGCATATGGCTATAAAATACCCCAATGGCCTGTGAAGGACCTCCTGTCGACTCCCACATCTTCTATCCCCATAAGTGCCTCCACTATTCTTTTTGAAATTCCTCACATTAACATTGACAACGAACATGAGCCCGAAGAACGAAGAAGAGCATTTGGAGGATATATCCAAGGATTATGACGAGCAGATAGAGCACGCTGAATCTGAACACTATGTGAAAGTTCAGTCCGACCTCAGCGGCATCGAGGCAACAGCTGCCTCCAAGACAGCTTGGTTGATTTCTATTGTCGTTTCCATAGGCGGTCTCTTATTTGGTATGTTATCCATGTAACCGTCCAGGTGAGAGGTCATTAACTAATGAGGTGTTATCTAGGCTACGACACGGGCTATATCTCCGCCGTTCTAGTCACAATCGGATCATCGCTCGGCCATGTCCTTAGCTCGAGTGAACAGGAAATGGTGACATCCCTCACAAGTGGTGGCGCTCTGGTTGGCGCGGTTGGAGCTGGTCTCACTGCCGATCGATTTGGTCGTCGTTGGCCTATATGGGGCGCCTGCCTGGTCTTCGTGATTGGAACTATCCTGCAGACATCCGCCTTTTCCGTCGGCCAATTTGCGGCTGGGAGATTTGTTGTTGGTCTTGGGGTGGGAAGCGTATCTATGATCGTCCCTCTCTATAGTAAGTCTCTTTCCTACCCAAGTGACTGTCTCCATGGGCTTACCGATCCACAGTTGGTGAGCTGGCGCCTGCACAATACCGCGGCCGCATGGTTGCGTTCAACAATATGAGTGTCACCTTCGGTCAACTCCTTGCAAGCGCCTTGGGTGCGGGCTTTGCTACTGTAAAAGGCCAAGGGTGGCGAGCAACCGTTGGTATTGGAGCTGCCCCAGCTCTTGCGCTCAGTGGGTTACTGTTTTTCTGTCCAGAGTCACCTCGACAGCTGGTTGCTCATGGAAAGCATGAAGCCGCCGACGCAGTTCTTCTAAGGATATACCCGAAGTCGACTGTTGAGCAACGGCAAGCTAAAATGAGATCAATTGAGCTGTCCCTGCAAGAAGTGACTCAAGCTATGAGCAAGGAATCCCTTTGGGTTACTTTCAAGCGAATTTTCACCACACCTTCCACCGGTCGTGCAGTTCTAACCGCCTGCATGATCATGGCAATTAGTCAACTTGGAGGGTTCAACACTCTAATGTACTATGCAGCAACGGTATTTTCGATCGTCGGATTCAGCAATTCCACAGCCGTCGGCATCACAGTCTCCGCTACAAATTTTGTGTTTTCGATTCTCAATCTCGTGCTTGTGGATAGGTTCGGCCGTCGAACTCTTCTAACAATCACCGTCTTGGGGATGTCTATCTGCATGATTGTCGCTGTCATTGCGTTCCGATATATCCCGATAGATACTGAGACACTGGTTGTGGAGAGTACCAATGTCGGCTGGCCAGGTACCCTGGTCCTCGTGGCGATTATTTGCTACGTCGCTTGCTATTCATCCGGTGTTGCAACTATTGCATGGATTGGCACCGAGCTAATTCCTCTCGAAGTTCGAGCAATGGGAACCATGCTAGTATGTACACCTCCATTCCATGTTCTTAATACACGTGCACGTGCTAACCAGCCGGACTAGAACACCGTCACATGCTGGAGCACGAATATCATCATTTCATCGACTTTCCTTTCCATGATGAAGAGTTGGACCCCGAGTGGTGCTTTTGGGTTCTATGCCGGAATCTGCTTCTTCGGTTGGGTTTTCGTTGTCTTCTTTTACCCCGAGTGCAAAGGGATGCCGTTGGAGGCTATTCGAGAAGTTTTCGCCGAAGGATTTGGAGTCAAGTATTCGAAGAAGTGGCAGAAAGAGCACAAATACGATGCCAAGGTTGAAACAATGGTCCTGGGACATTAGATCCGAGACTGCGAGATTACACACACCTGAATATATACATAGGGTCGCTGAACAGCAACCTCTGCCAACTGAATTTACATTATCTTCCTAGGGTATTTCCACTTCTGTGTACTTCACAATGGAGAATCGAATGATTGCAGTTAGGTGTATAACTCGCTGGACCTATGCAGTGCATTTCATGTTGTCCAATGTGAAAGCTCTTGGTAGATGTCGGAGCAACTTAAGTGCGATCGCTCGGAACTGCCTTGCGACGGGCCATCGCAGCCACATCGGCCTCGGGCGGATTGGAATCCACGAATCCATGTTTCTGATATAGCGGTGCGCCCTCCTTGCTCGCATCCACATAGGCCGCAACGCCATCCTTATCCGCCAAGTCGCAGCCCCACTGGACAAGCATAGAGCCAGCACCGCGCCGTTGGTAATCAGGATGAGTACCAAGTGTATCGAGGTCTTTTTTTTCGGTCTCGGATGTCAGTAACAATTTCTTCCTTTTTGAGGTTTCGAGGGAGTTTCATTCATACAGTAATGTTTTTCATTACCCATGACGCGTTTCCTCGACTGCTCTAGTTTTGCAATGAAATCCTCACATTGCTGGTAAGGTGAGTCTGCATGCCAAATTGGAAAGCGACGACCTCGTTCATCGGGCATAGCCAGGTCCCATTTGCCAAAGGCAACTAACCGCGGTCGGCCTTGCTCATCTTTGGACTCGGTGTCGACTACTCGCAGATATCTGCAGTTTGGCTTTTGAATGTCCTTCATATGCCAATCATTATGCCATTGGTGCATACCGGGGGTGTTGGGGAATATTTCCCCGATTATCGGCTGTGTGAAGGAAGCGAACCATACCTCCGTGATGGCAGGCACATCTTCCGGTGTCGCTAGTTCTAAAACGAGAGGATTTGTTATTGATCCCATATTGAAATTGGGTTGAATATGCGTTCAAGTGACTAGCGGAAGAGTATGGACTAGGGGGTTCACACCAGGGCAAGGCGTGTTTAATACAATTTGATAAAGAAAGAACGGGGGGCTATTTCCCGGTAAAACATGGCCCCCGAGTGAGAATAAACCCACTTAATAATGTTAAAGAGGCATTGACGTGGTTTTCAATACGGGGCGCTGAGAAACAGGGGTACAGCAGGGGTAGAAGAGCAGGGGTTGCATACGGAGTACAATATAGAACTTTCGAAGGGACCTCGGATGCAACGGTTACCTAAAAATATATACATATACACTAACTAGATATCCCTCGACATGGATCAATTTATAAGAGGCCTAGCCACTTTGATCTACAGGAGTTAGGTAGGTTTTGGCCCCCCGAAAAGCATGTCCCATCATACGATGCCCTCGATATTACAAGTGGAACTACACCAAAATAGACACCCACACACCCACACTATCAATATCTAGGTCTCCACGGGATGTGAGAAGCTTATTATTCTAATTTGTCAAGTTGGACGACCACTTCTGTCTCTACAACATAACCTATGGGTGTGTCCCAGGTTCTCTCATTATGTGCGCTTCGCTTGACTGGCTGTCGACCTCCCAGTCCTGCGTGACCAAAATTTGATCTTGTGGTATCGGAAAAGCAAAATTTTCGTGGCTCTCAAACTTGACCTTGTGGTCCCGCGACTTGGACTGCCTCAGTGATTGCGAGCGTAGCTTGTAGCTCCAAGAGGTCGGTTCTTCCACCCCATCGAGCTTGAGTCCGTTCGATCGCATCCAGGACAGGAACGGGTTGAGTTGTCCCCAGCAGGCTGTCACAATACTGAGGCACTGAATGAGCACTTCGAAAATAGTGACTTCACACATCTGAAACGTTGGGTCGTTTGTTTCCGTGGCTTTCTTAATGAAGGCAAGCTCGACGATCGTTGCGACCGTCACACTATCGAGGAAAAGAGGATAAGTTTTGAGTCTGGAACTATAGGAGAGACCACTCCGTAGATCCGGGTTACTCACAAGAGCCGAGGCAGGAAGATACCTGCAAAGACCAGTCGTCGCCCCAGGGTGGTTTGGATGCTAGAAACCAGGATCATCGCTTGGGTGACAATCAAGAGGTCGGTAACGATGTTGGATATAGCGATGAAATAGCGCCAGGCTAACTGGACAGGGCCCGTCAAACCGCATTAGTGTTATCCGAATTGAGGGTGTAGGAAGTGATCACGACAAAAGCAAGACACCACTTACCAAATTAAAGCATTGACCATTCTGGAAGTCCCAGGTATGTGGCAGAGAGCATTGGAATGCAGTCCCAAAGATCGCAACAACTGCCCAGGCATATACAATGGCCTCGACGGCTCGGGCGAGCCATTTATCTTTGGCAGACGGTGTAAGACCTCGAATAAACACGACCAGAGATAGTTTCGAGAACGTGAGGCTGAAGAGGTACAGAAGTGATGCCGCGAAAAGGTTCTAGGAATGGACACATTATTAGCCTTGGCTCCACAGAAAAGAAAATCAAGTAAGCGATCGCAAAAAGGCGGAAGATGCGTACTTTCATCACCTGTTCCATATCTGCGCTGGAGACATCCTTGGAATGCTTTCCATAACCCGACCCAACTGCCAGCGAAACAACAATACTCTGACCGATGCCGAGGATCAGGGACGCAATGATCAGAAGATCATCCGTAGTGAGCCTTTTGAACAGTCGAATTTTGGTTGCCAGTCGAGCGGAGACGCTAAAGATGATCGTGACTAAAAGAACCCAGGTGGTGACATTAACCGCGGGGTCTTTGGTGTCATCTTTGAATCGTGTCCCCATTGAGCCAAAATATGTGAGACGGGGGGGAGTTACTTGAAATGGAGAAAATGAAGGAAGGGAAAGTATTAGAGAGTATAATCATGCTAAGAGAAGATGCCTCATGCTTTTTAATATGTCGCTGCGTGATCTAGTAGTGCACGGCTTCGATTTCCAGTGCCCAGGAAATGGCGACTAGGATGCAAATCCCCTCTCAGTTATTAGTAAATAAATATATGCAACTAACTAGTTATACGAAGGTCTCTGAAGGGGTGTTATGGCTCATATAGAAAAAAAAAAAGAAAGAAAAAAGGAAGGCTCCTAATGTCGCGCGAGGCTAGTTCCATTCCCTTATCATCTCGATCTGGATGTGTTTTATATGTGTTCGGTCTGTTTTCTCAATGACATTGTTCCTAACTTTTCACTTGGGCGAGGTGTTTTCCTTGGTTTTTTTTTGTTTTGTTTCACTGACAATGATCATTGTCAAAGGACATGGTAATATCGAGCTTTTATCACGTTCAAGTTCAACTCCCCCTTTAGAAGGATTCTGTCCAGTGGCCCCCGGCCCCCCGGCCCCTCGCATTAGTTCAACCCCCAATTGCTTGTTGCCCTATGAGTAGCCATTCCCGATATATGCCCCACATAGAATAACTATGTCTTGGTTCAATTGGGTATGGTGCGCTTCCTGGAGGATCCTTCCCGCATGTGATCGACACTGTGCGCATTGCCGCATAGCGTATCTATGTTGTAGTGTGTCTAAGGCCTCCCCTAGAACGTCCGTCGGGCAGAGCGTGTGTCTGACATTAAATTGGAACAAGTATAGTGCATTAGCGTAATCCACTCATGTACGGAGTACTTTCAAGTCTACTCCGTAGTCGATGTAACATACATGCATCTGATCATATTGAACACCCTTTCACCTGCATTCCCATATGGGCCAATGGACTTTTTCCCGCACATTTTTGTACTTTTAACCCAGTCGCTTCCCTCATGTTTACGTTGATATTTACCTCCCATCTGTCCCCGTTCCATTCATTCATTAGAAAAAGAAAAAAAAGCCATTATGGCCTATGAAATGAAGAGCAGCACATCTGTCACCAGTAGGGGCGATGGGCAGGTGGAGCGTGATAATGCGCATCTTCAGCGGATGGGAAAGAAGCCAGTACTTAAGGTATGCAATGCATGACTCAAGGCAAAACTTATGCGCTTATAATATTGACACTTCCATCTAATCAGCGAAACTTCGGCATTCTATCGATCCTCGGTTTCAGCTGTACTATTCTCGGCACTTGGGAAGGCCTGCTTGGGTGAGTCGTTTCCAAATTCTCACGTAATCCATCGCTAACTGGTTGCTTAGGACCTTCACTGGCCCTCTTACAAAGTGGGTTCACATGTCAACAACTTACTGCCTTACAACATTCTCTAACAGATATTAGTGGCGGGTCGGGTGGTGCGATCTATGCCTACATCTTCGGATGGGTTGGCTGTTTTGCTAATTTTATGGTCTTGTCGGAATTGGCCTCCATGTATGTTGTTCATTCTCGATTACTCTAAGGCTAATACTAACGATAAAATAGGGCGCCTACCGCAGGAGGCCAATACCACTGGGCTGCCATGCTTGCCCCAGCTAGACTTCAGAAATTCCTGAGTTTCATTACAGGTAAATCTTTGTCACATGCACCCACAGAATGTATTCCTTATCGCTGATACTTGAACCCGTAGGATGGTTTGCTGTCCTCGGCTGGCAGAGTGCCTTCGCAGCCTGTGCATTTTTAACAGGAAAGATGATCCAGGGTGCCGCGATCCTAGGGAACAACCTCTACAATGCTTTACCTTGGCAAGGAACATTGATTGTCTGGGCTTCTCTCAGTCTCGCATTGGTCGTGAACTTGGTCGGCGGCAACTTGCTGCCCCGCATTGAGGCGGTCATTTTGGTTGTGCATATTCTTGGATTCTTCGGCATCATAATCCCCCTCACCTATATGGCGGATCATAACACAAAGGAGCAGGTCTTTCTGTCTTTCCAAAATGGAGGAGGTTTTGCCACTCAAGGTCTATCCTGGTTCGTCGGTATGACCAGTTGTGCCTTTGCCTTTGCTGGAGGTGATGCTGCCGTGCATGTAAGTTTCCTCGGAGTTACGCTTTCCTCTACACGCTTCTAACAGATCTCGGAATAGATGTCTGAAGAGGTCGCAAATGCCTCAACCGTCATTCCCCACGCCCTTATGATCAGTGTGGGAATCAACGGCTGTCTCGGCTTTGGTATGATCATTGTTATGATGTTCTGCACCGACGCCGACCTTGGTGGTACGCTGGGGAAAGCCACTGGGTATAACTTCATGGGTATATTCATGGAAGCAACAAACTCAATTCCGGGTTCATTGACCATGTGTGCTATCGTTATCACTATCTATGTCTGTTCCCTGATGGGTCTCCTAGCTGCGGCATCTCGGCAGCTTTGGTCTTTCTCTCGAGATAGGGGAGTTCCCGGGTGGCGATTGTGGAGTCAAGTAAGTTCTTCTCTATCAATTAGAACCCTTGCATGGTCTAACATTTTCTCTTCAAGGTTTCTTCCACGAAACAGTTGCCTATTTTTGCCATCATCCTTACAGTGACCATCGCTGTGTTGCTTTCCCTCATTAACATCGGTTCCAATACCGCCATGGAGGACATTGTGTCCATGGCAGTGGCCGGTATTTACCTCTCCTACCTCATGGTTTCCGTTTTGCTGTTTTACCGTCGTGTCCGTGGCGACATCTCCCGATATAATGACAACGAGGATAACATTGTCAATGTACCCGGTGCAAAGCTTGTCTGGGGACCGTTCCATTGCCCCGGCATCATTGGCGCCGTGATCAACGGGTATGCGGTCATCTACGTCAGCATCGTCGTCTTTTTCAGCTTCTGGCCAAGTACAATGCACCCAACAGTGGAGACGATGAACTGGAGCATTCTGGCAATCGGAGGCAGCGTCTTCCTTGCCATTATATACTACGCGGTGCGTGCCCGGCATATCTACAAGGGTCCTATTATAGAAGTGTCCTTGTAGAGACCCGGTGGGACTCTTGAGAAAAATGTTAGTATTTAATTAGTGGGTTCTTAAAAGTTATTTCGAGAGGGTGGTTAAAGTTGGCTCAAAACAGAATTAGTTCCAAGTTTTCCCCTCTTTTTTAAAAAGGATTGTTGTTCTTGTCATGTTTTGTCCAGATTTGTGTCGACGGACTTGACCACAGGTTTTCTTAGTATTGATGGTTGGTCATGTACAGTGCTCTATTTTTAAGCAATATCAAAGCCGCAAGTAAACGCAAAGGCCACCGGTAACTAATGTACATGGTCCTCATCACAGCGAATGCTTAACTTGGCTACCGCTTGCCTCCGACTCCTCTAACCCATCTCCGAGCGATCTGGGCTTCGTATCGACATACTCACACCTGACGCTCCACTGATCCGTCCTTTGGATTCCCATCGAAGGACTTATTCCCTCTAGTTGCTGTGGCTTGACCGGTGAAGTGAATGCAAAAGCAGCGGCGGACGTCCCGAGTCCCTCGGCCTCATCTTCCAAGTATCGAGAGCGGGTCGGGGTATCCTTTGCTCCACGGCTCATACTCGCTAACGTATATGAGTTCCTATACGAGTCATTGCGGCTCCCCCATTGCGCTTTCGTAGACCGACGCCGAGCATTCCACTATCGAAGGCGTCGAGAAAAGGCTTCAAGCAGGGAATGCATGCTGTAATGAGGGTGACACACAGGGCGCATTGGGTGGTAATTCGGGTCGCGAAGGCGGATTGTGTCATGTCTGTGGAATTTGGGGCATTTCGCATGAAAACCAGGCGCATGATGGTCGCTATTATTACACTGGACACCCAGTTAGTTGAATATTTGTGAATTCGGAGACAGGAAGGTCTTACGTACGTTAGGCGGTACGCGAATGCGACCACGACGGGGACTTTCTTTCCAAAGCTAACTTGAACGGGCTTGATAATATAGATCGGGAGGAGGCAGATGATTAACTCTGTAAGAATATCGACGAAGGATATGGCTGTCCAAAACCGGAACTATATAAATCAGGTTGTCAGTATGGATTCGATCGCTGGGGTCAAAGGTCAATTCTCACAGTATCAATACATTTGCCATTATCCATTTCCCATGGTCTTGGTGTTCCGCATTTGAAAGCCAAAGTGAAGAAGACTGGAAATGTCCAGACCAACACGACGATCGATGTCCAAAGGCATACCTTTTTGTGTGATTTATTAACACAAAGTTTATTCAGGAATTCCAGGACTGAGACTTTCGTGAGGCTAATGGCAAGAACGTAAAGGAGATCAGATGCATATAGAATCTAGCACGCATATTGGCATTAATACATATTATTGTATTGACCCAGGAAGAATGGTTCACCTTTTCCACATCGATCACTTGCTGCGGACTTAAGGCAGATTGACGCTTCCCCATACCATGTTTTGTCCCTTGGAAGATAACACCAGATTGCGCGATGCCGAATACCTATCCTTTGAAAGCTCGGCATTAGAGACTGGAGGACAATGATCTAGTCAAGGGGTGTCGTAAGGCATAAGTGGGAATCCATACCAGCGCAAGGGAAATTATCCCGTCGTCTCGTTGCAATGAGCGGAGCATAAAGAATCGAAAGGCAAGTCGGATCAGCACGGCCATTATCATCATCACCAAGAGGTACAAGGCCGCAATGGCGATCTCATCTCCATGATCGGATGTAGAGTCCTCGCGTTTGTCGGTGGTGCCTATTTGAAAATAGCTTGCAATATTCATCATGAGACCCGTACAAGCAACAACATAGATAGCTCATGCATCCATTCAAGGATTTCGACACTCAGGGCCTTTTGTTCTAGCTTACATTTGGCTTGATGGTAGATTTAAACGGAGATAGATAATCGTACGCACAGCATTACGAAAAGTCTTGCCACTTTTCTTTGCTAAAGTTTCGGAGTTACAATTCAAATCCCACCGATTCCGTACTCCGTATCTTCTCAGGGATAATTGGTGTATT